ATTGTTTTGAACTTCAAGAAGCAGTACACATCTATTTTTATATCTGTAAAGAGTATCTGAAATCTGATTTCCTGTAGAGTTGTGAACTTTTTGAATACAAAGTTTTCATTAGTTACAAAATAATTTCACACTGGCTAGAAAAATCTTTTTCTCAAATTTGTGAGTGGTAAAAGAAATTATTGTTATTTTCTACATGATCTAAAAAATATCATTTGCAAGTATTTTGGCAGTATTTGTCCTTGTAATGATTGTTTATCAAACAAACCTTCTGAAGGGATTTTATTGGTTGAAAAATATATATAGGATTTAATTCCTATATATTCATCATAAGTTTCATAGCTTTCTGTCATTTTGACTGAATCAGTTCTATATGGACAGTCTCTCAACCAATGAAGGATACTTTCTTATATCTCAGTTTAACATGTATTTCAGTGGATTTGTTCCTTTTATTCTTGTTTTGAATTTTTATTTTGTTAAACATATTTCTATTGTCCAATAGTAATTAAATGTACTGTTGCTTTTCTTCAACCTGCACAACTATTTTCACCAAATATCCTTCTCATGGTTAAGTTTGTTTTTTTGCTGCAGGTCTTTAGTCATGCATGCAAGTTGTGGTTTAGATTAGTATTGTTTAATAATTTGAAGACTAAGACCATGTCAGGCAAAGTCATTTTATGTTTTGTGTTTTTATAGAACCTTTAATCAAATTACACAATTTGATATAGATGTGGTTTCTGGTTTTCAGAAAACACCAAAGTGTTTTTTTTTGTGTCCCAAAAGCACTATTAATTGATTCTTTTATAAATAAATTGTCAAGTACAGTAATTAAAGTGTATTCATTCTATTCTTCTAATTTAGATCTTCCGATTTACAGTTTAAAGTGGATTCTGGCTAAGTGATAAAGCTACTGCCAGTGTTTGTTTTTTTTTTTTCTTCTTATCTAAGTTTGTCATGAGCTGCTAAATTTTCACTCTCCCCTCTTCCATGAATCATGCTCACATTTTCAAACTCTAGTGCATTTCTGTGTGCAACACTAAAATAGCATTTATTTTTGAAAAAAAAAAAATGGTACAAATTTGAAAAATTGGGGTATGGATAAATTGTTGCTATTTACTATTCTGTCATTAACTTTGTCAATAGATGCATGACTGAATAGTTAGAACATTAAGATTTTGACTATGAGGCCTGGGTTCAAATCTCACCATAGTTGATTTGTCAGAGAGATGACTTCCTGATAATATCAATCTGAGAGATTATCCCAACTTGTGGTACCATTGAGAAATGCCTGAAACCCATTCTATGCATTGACCCAGGCCTTTTGACTGAAATTGGGTAGACAAAACTGTTCAGAAGCTGCTGATGGCTGTACTAGCATAAAGTTAAGTCATCGTAAGTGAGGGTTTGAGTATATTTATCTTATTCAAAGTGATGATCATGTCAGATTATGCACTCCCTCTAAGAGACTGTAACTAAGATTCACTCATTATAGTTTCAGTATAAACTGCAAATTGGCTCTGTGAGTGTTGAAGAAATGAATGTTCCTCACCATATTTGGATATGGGCAGCTAGTCATACATTAACTTGTTACATTTACTGAATCTATACAATTTTTTTTATTGTTCCTTTTACAACATTGCATTTGTGAATATTTTCATGCAACAATCACCAAAAGGTCACATTCTATGAAAACTGTAACTAAACTCATATTTACAATTTCATGACGGAAGTTTGGTACCTTGATAAAGAATGAGTGGGTAGATGTGTAAAATACACACCTCAGTTCACTCTGAATTCCTCAGAGTTCCTTTGAGAGCCAAGATTAACAGCAATCTTGACTTTCTCCAGTATCTCTGACCAATTCTTCTCCAGTTGGAGTTTTAGACTGAAGCAGGCTCTGAGTATCTAGCACTACCTATTCATGCAATTGAAAGGATAGGGGAGAGTACAACTACTCTCCATGAGACCAACTGCAAGTGAACACTTATTGTGATTCATTTTGGCCCCTGCTACTGTCTCATGCAACTGGATTACTTTGCCAGTGTCTTTGATCTCAGCATTGTTCACTAAAAGCATGGAGACATTTATTGTTGGTATAGGTAGAGTACCTGGTCAAAGTGGTGGACCCAGATAATTCTAGGACTGGAAGTGAAGACACTGATGACTTGTCTCAGTAGAGGAGCATTAATGGCTTTTGATGCTACTTGTGGGTAAAATGATGGTGGTCAAAAGAGTTGGGGGAAGGAAGGGAAAATTTTCTGTGAAGGAGGCAAGACTTTAAATATATGTCTGCAAGACAGAGGTAGGTGAGGATGGAGAAACAGGTATGGTATGTGGTTACTGTCTGTGTATCATCTGGGTGAGGTAAGGGCAACTACAGTCGTAGTGAATGTCTTTTTGGGAGAAGATTATACTGGAAGAGGCAGTCATATCTGCTGGCTTATTCTTCCGTGTTTTAGGATAAAGAGCACCCCTCCATTTTCCAATTACACATTTCTGCATATAACTATAGTGGGCTCTCCAAAAGGAACTGAAATCCCTTTTATATCATTTTCCCACCACCTGCCAGGATGTGTGGGTGTTGTAATGGATAATGATTCGGAAGTTGTAGAAGCGTATTCAAGTTCATTTCATTACTTTCACTTATATATAAATACCCTTGGGAAAGGTATAAATCTGTTCCCCTCCTCCAGGTGTAGGATGAATAGTAGGACTTTTACCTGGGGAAAAATTGTTCTTCTAAAACATTGTTAATGCAGTACTCACTCACAAATAAACAATTATTCTCAACATCCATTTTTTTTTTTTTTCTTTTTGTTTTGAGGGGGCTTCTTCTTTGGACAAGACATATAGAGAGAAGTCACTAGTCTCTCTGCGGAACCAACATACTTCCGGATGTAGTCACCCAGAAAGTTAAGCAATTGTGCTGAAAGCTTTTCTCTCATTCATCAGGTTTAATGTTACTCGCTGCACATTTGATCAGAAATTACACTCACAATCTCTCCATATTGAAAGAAGAATGCAGCAAAACGATTGCCTGACACAAAGCTAGGGAACCTTAAAACCCATCTTACTTGTTCTAACATTTGTCCTGGTACTCCATTTAATATATGCATTTTTTTTTTGTTCAAATCTCTCTTTTTGTAAGGGTCAAATATTCTTCTCTATATTATAATGGGGCAGTGCAGTTAGTGTAACAGTTATCACTGTGGAATGTTTCAATGAGGTTATTTTAAATTCCATTTTGTTCACTTCACACTAATACCTTTAGCAAAGGTATGAATCCACTTCTCCCTCTAGTTATGGGTTACATAACAGACTAGGTTTCTTAGCCTTAGTTAGCAGCCAATTGAGGACTACTCTGAATTCAAAGCCATAGAGAAGTCAATGGGAATATCACTCCACTATCTTTCTCATGAAGTTTATAGCCATGCATTAAAAGAATATTAAAGAAAAGGAAGCTGTGGAGAGCCATGTTATGTCTTGAAAGGAAATAGTATTACAAAAATTGGGGAGAGGGGTGAACTAGGAGAAAAAGCTTGGCAAAGCATCACAGTTGAATAATAGTCAGAAGAGTATAAACTTTTTCTCTTTGGATACTATTCTCATCAAACATGCATAGCGGACATGTAAAACTTTGTACTTGTCATCATACAAGCATTGCATTTTATGGATGAGCCAGTAGATTGGTTGGTAATGAATCTAGTGGGGGATGTTGAAAATGGGCTGTGACCTTTGTAAATAGGAGTTCACAAGCAGTTTGGAAAGGTCAAACATTTTGAAGTAGGTTAGAATTTATTATTCACAAGCTACAGCATAGATTTTTCAAGATTTAATGTAGATTTTTATTAATTGTAAAAAGTTCTATAGCTGTTGATGTAGTTCATCTGTTTTGTATGTCCTTCTCAGTGTTATGTTCCTTCAGAACATTGGCGATCATGGTTCTCCACAATTTCCTGTCTTTTGTAGCTCTTAATAAATTTTGTCTTTTTGTTATCTCTCCTAAACCCTGTTCTGCTATCCATTTACTTGCTAAGTAGGTTATGTGTTGTTTTCTTCCATCCTTCTTGCCTAACTTGTGAGTATCAAATTTTCTGAGCCCTCTTTCCTCGTTATGTGCCCTAGAAATTTTAGCTATCTCTTTCTGATGTTCAGTATAATTATCTTTTTTGTTTCCATTTTCTCTAAAACTTCTGCTTTCTCTTGCAGAAAGTTTTATACAACATGTAGTGCTGCCCTTGTAACCTCCTAATGAACTAATTGTGGCTGGTTCAAAAACATGCTGGACCATAGGAGTTACCTGATCACATATATGCCGGAGTAAAGAGGTTGTACTGCACTATATAGGTGGTGGGAGATATACAGTTGATTTAAGGAATAATACATCTGTATGAACCTTGAGTATGAACTAATGAAAAATGACTATACTACTGTTAATCTGTTTTGCTCTAATTCTTGAGTACTTAGACCTCATTCTTTTCCTATGTACAATGTTCTTTCAGTGCTTGAGTAATCATGGCTCACCACAATTTCCTATTCTTTGTAGCTCTGAGAAAAGTTTGTCTTTTTACTATACTTCCCACTCCCTGTTCTGTCATCCATGATCCATTCACACATGCTGAAATGGGTTATTTACTGTTTCCCTTGTGTCTTCAATATGTCCTGTGTGTGTCAAATTCTCCAAGCTCTCTTTCTTCATTATGTGTCCTAGAAATTTCAACTCTCTTTTTCTGATTCTAAGTACACATATTCTTTTGTTTCCATTTTTCTTAAAACTTTCTTGTTGCTCACATACTCCATCCATGGTATTTTCAGCATCCTTCTGTTGTATTACAAGTGGATGTGCAGGTAGTATAATTGATAGCAGCATGAACTGAGAACTAGGAGAGCAAAGTTTGAATTTCATTTGGGTTTATTACATTCACTTAAGCATAAATGCTCTTGGGAAAAGTATAAATCCGTCTATTACCTCTCCCAGCTATGGGTTAAATTAGAGTACTTGCATGTGGAAACTTGTTCTTTCTTTCTCTTTCTTGCTTGCTTTCTTGCTCTCTTTCTATCTCCTTCTCTTTCTATCTCCTTCTCTTTCTATCTCCTTCTCTTTCTATCTCCTTCTCTTTCTATCTCCTTCTCTTTCTATCTCCTTCTCTTTCTATCTCCTTCTCTTTCTATCTCCTTCTCTTTCTATCTCCTTCTCTTTCTATCTCCTTCTCTTTCTATCTCCTTCTCTTTCTATCTCCTTCTCTTTCTATCTCCTTCTCTTTCTATCTCCTTCTCTTTCTGTCTCCTTCTCTTTCTCTCTGTTGCCCTTTCTATCTCCTTCTCTTTCTCTCTGTTGCCCTTTCTATCTCCTTCTCTTTCTCTCTGTTGCCCTTTCTATCTCCTTCTCTTTCTCTCTGTTGCCCTTTCTATCTCCTTCTCTTTCTCTCTGTTGCCCTTTCTATCTCCTTCTCTTTCTCTCTGTTGCCCTTTCTTTCCTTTTCTCTCTCACTTTTTCTCTTGCTGATGGTTAGATTAATTATTATTATTGAATAAATGGCTTGATCCAGTAGACAAATAGGTTAGCCTTTTTATTTTCATAGATGTGTTGAGTATTTTTATTTTCACTCACTGAAAACCAACAGAGCTTCTTACAGTACTATATGACAACCAATGAATGAATTGTAAAGAACCTTATTTTTACAAGTAGAACAATGCTCTTCCTTCCCCATTAACTCTTTCCGAAATGCTTCTTTGTTTGTCAAAGGATTGATTCTTTGTTTAACCACTACTTTTATTTTTTACCCAATATTGCAAACATTGAAAATTACCTGTATTAAGCAGGCTTCTCAAATCACTTTATTTTCTTCTATCTTGTATATTTTTTCTTTCTTTCTTTAGGAAATTACTATTACACTGTTCTTCTCCCTCTATATGTTTCTTTTACAATTTATCTGGTATGTTTGCCTAAGGTTAGAGGAAGGACTGGGCATTTGACACCTGCTTGAAGGTTTACCTTGTTACATTTGTGAGAAGGTAAGATGTTGGGAAGGAAGCATACCCAACCTCACTCCTTTTAAGTAAAATGTTGTAAACTTTCTAATTTTTTTTTCTCACATTTGACTTCTGACCAATAACCTAGAAGACTTGTCAAGTCCAGTTTACAAGAAATAGCAGTCCTAGTAATGAAAGGTTTTATATCTTTTGAATCCTGTTTAATCAAACCCATAATAACTCAAGCTTAATTTAATGGAGGTAATTTAATCTTATATTTTAATTGCTAGATTTGATAAATTAACTGGATTAATTGGATTCTTGCTGAAAATATTTACAATTTTCATGTCTCCTAAAATTGTGGAACTTAAGACGCATTTTCATTCTTTCTTTTTTCTACTACTTTTTCCTTATCTTTCTTTTTTCTACTACTTTTTCCTTATCTTTCTTTTTTCTACTACTTTTTCCTTATCTTTCTTTTTTCTACTACTTTTTCCTTATCTTTCTTTTTTCTACTACTTTTTCCTCATCTTTCTTTTTTCTACTACTTTTTCCTCATCTTTCTTTTTTCTACTACTTTTTCCTTATCTTTCTTTTTTCTACTACTTTTTCCTTATCTTTCTTTTTTCTACTACTTTTTCCTTATCTTTCTTTTTTCTACTACTTTTTCCTTATCTTTCTTTTTTCTACTACTTTTTCCTTATCTTTCTTTTTTTTTTTTTCCTTATCTTTCTTTTTTTCTACTACTTTTCCTTATCTTTCTTTTTTTCTACTACTTTTTCCTTATCTTTCTTTTTTCTACTACTTTTTCCTTATCTTTCTTTTTTCTACTACTTTTTCCTTATCTTTCTTTTTTCTACTTTCACTTTCTTTTCCGTTTTTCCCTTTCCGTTTCCGTTTTTCCTTTCTTTTCCTTTCCGTTTTTCCTTTCTTTTCCCCCTTGTTTGTTATGACTCTCCCTACAGCTTCTTTTTCTTTAATTACTATTACTGTTCTTAGGAAAAATAGTAGGGTGGTTTCCTATTGCATATTCTATAGTTTTGATTTCAGAGTTATCATTGTGCTTGTTTACTTGCCCTACCAGGGTTAGAGAGTGAAGCACTATTTACCCATATTTAGGAGGAGAAAAAGTGGATTCATGCCTTTCTCAAAAATAGGCACACAAAGGAAACACAACAGTCTTGATTAGAATTTGGTCTCCATCTATTGATTTGGTTTTCCATGTTAATGATTATTGCACCACCTGCACATCCACTTATAGGCTATTATTATAAAGATAAAAATAAAGACGGTGCAAATGTCAGCTGACTCATGTTTGTTCATTATTATCACTTGTATTGAATTGCAGTTTTTTTCTTCTAAAAGTTCAGAAAGCTGCCTTATTAGTTGAACCATTTTAAAAAGAAGTCAACATGTTGGTAGTTGTTTGTAGCTGTTTATTTTGATTTTGTGAATAGAAAGTAGTAAGATTTTAACACTATCATTACTGCAGCTGTTTTTCTATGGTAAATATACAATCAACTAAGTGCAATATAGTGTAAATACAGGAGGCTAAAATTAGCAAAAAAAAAACCAAAAAACAAATCTAATTTCTGTTTGAATTTCTAGGGTTAGAAATTTATCATTATTTACATTGACTACTATCCTCATCTTTGTTTTTATTATCACAATATTTCAGCTATTGTGTCCTTCAAGTATTTGTCAATGTTAGTAAACTTCAGGGAATTTCGAACTGAATCCTTTATTGAATTTATGGGAGTAGATTGTTCTCTTTTCACTATGATTCAAAAAAAAAAAAAAAAAAAAAATTGTGTTTATGCAGAACATTTTGTGAATGATTAAATGTGTCAAAATGGTTTGAAAAGTTTCCTACTGAAGATTTTTTTACTGAACAATGTACCACAGTCAGGCAGACTAGTTGCGGTTGATAATGATCAAATCAATGATCTAAGAGACAGCCGACATACTCAAAGCATCCAAATTAAACATTGAAAATCATTTGCATCAGTTTGGTTATGTTTGTCATTTTGAAGTGTAGTGTCTGCACAAGTTTAAAAAAAAAACAAAAAAAACAGCAAACAAAGAAACTTCTTATCATAATGTTTCACCTATTGTGCCCTCTGGATTTGTAAGGTATCTGTTGGTCCAGATAACATATAGGGAATTTTGAACTGAGCCGATTAATTAATCTATTAGGATAGATTGTTGTTATTATACAGTGCATGTTTAGAGATATCTCATCTTGTTTAAATTCTTTTCTTTTTTCTTTTTTTCTCTTCTTTTTTTTTCTCTCTTTCTTTCTTTTTTCTCTCTTTCTTTCTTTTTTCTCTCTTTTCTTTTTTCTTTTTTTCTCTCTTTCTTTCTTTTTTCTCTCTTTCTTTCTTTTTTCTCTCTTTCTTTCTTTTTCTCTCTTTCTTTCTTTTTTTTCTCTCTTTCTTTCTTTTTTTTCTCTCTTTCTTTCTTTTTTTTCTCTCTTTCTTTTTTTTTTTCTCTTTCTTTTTTCTCTTTTCTTTCTTTTTCTCTTTTTTTTTCTTTTTTTCTTTCTTTTTTTGTTTTTTTCTCTTTCTTTGTTTTTTTTCTCTTTCTTTGTTTTTTTTCTCTTTCTTTGTTTTTTTTCTCTTTCTTTGTTTTTTCTCTTTCTTTGTTTTTTCTCTTTCTTTGTTTTTTCTCTTTCTTTGTTTTTTCTCTTTCTTTTTTTCTTTCTTTCTTTTTTCTTTCTCTTTCTTTTTTCTCTTTTTTCTCTTTTTTCTTTCTTTTTTTCTTTTTTTTTTTTTTTTTCTTTTTTTCTTTTCTTTTCTTTTTTTTTCTTTTTTTTTTTCTTTTTCTTTCTTTTTCTTTCTTTTTTTTTCTTTTTTTTTCTTTTTCTTTTCTTTTTTTTCTTTTTTCTTTTTCTTTTTCTTTTCTTTTTCTCTTTCTTTTTTCTTTCTTCTTTTTTCTTTTTTCTTTTCTCTTTTCTTTTCTTTTCTCTTTTCTTTTCTTTTTTCTTTTCTTTTTTTTTCTTTTTTTTTCTTTTTTTTTTTTTTTTTTTTTTTTTTTCTTTTTTTTTTTTTTTTTTTTTTTTTTTTTTTCTTTTTTTTTTTTCTCTCTTTCTTTTTTTCTTTTGTCTCTCTCCCTTTTGTCTCTCTTTTACGTCTCATCTCTTTTTTTTTTTTCTTTGGTCAAATATTGCTAGTTCTGTTTACAGCAAGTATACTACTTGGCACAGGAATTGAATTCCAAAATTCATGAACCAATGCTTAAATTTATGAAATGAAGATGGAAATGATAGAAACCACTTTTTGTCATCTAGTGTTGCTGAGTCTGAGGATTCACACATCCTTCCAGTTAATACTTTGAAAATAAATATTTAACATTTTTTGACCAATGGCTCACGTTATTCATGATCCCTTTGAAAAGTATTTATGTAAAGTCTTTTAACAGACAAAACCAGTAAGGAGATAGATGTATACATGTGACATCAGTTCATGGTGTGGCTTCAAAGAGATTCCCTTACTCATTCACCCATCTTCCTCACTAAGCTATGTGACACTTACACTTTCCTCCTTGTCGCTTTTTCATGCTTATACTTGAAGAAATCATTTCTCTTCATCTTAACAAATAACTGCAAACAAGGAATTTTAACACTCATGCACACTGAGAAAAATTTAGTTATAAAAATGCGAAAATAAGAATTTTTTATATTTAAAAAACTTTTTCGCTTTTTTCTTTGTTGTGGGTTGATTCAAATCTGCAAGAAATCCTCTAAGATATTATACATTCATGAATCTTGAACTGGGAGCCACAGAAGAAAGCTGGATAACAACAATAAAGATGAGGATATTAGTCTGAATTTAAATAATGTAAATAAGTTTCCTAATTGTTTTCATTATTTCATTAGTGTATAATCTTTTGAAAGTTGTTTGTGTAGAATTTTTTTCTTTCTATTATTTGTTTTTCTTGATGATAACAAAAGTAACATTCTAGAAAAGCCATAGAAATGATTTCAGATTCCTGTTAGACTTTAATATCAGGAAGTGAAAATTACTAGAATTATAGTAACATTTTTTTCTGTTACTGAAGACAGGTTTTCATTTCTCAGTTGAGAACAGTGGACATTCAGTTTTTGTTTCAAAATGACAAGTCTAAGTTGTAAGACTTTAAATGTCTACTTAGATTTTGTTTTTTTGACATGTCTCCCAACTTTTTGGTATCAGAACATCTGGTAATGTTCAGTTCTATTAGCCTCCTGCCCCAGAAGCCAAAAAGAGAAAAAAAATCTATATTATATAAATAAAATTAACAACAATAATAATAAAAAGAAAATGCTTTGAATAAAGTACCAATTACTTGGCTTCTGGGCTCTCGTTTTTTGTTAATGGTATGGGTTAGGAGTTTGATGTCAGACTCACAAGTTTTAAATGTTTTAATTTTTTTAATTGATTGAGGAATTTGTTTATTTAGTACCCTCCCCCATCCACCAACACTTTGGTTTCTATTTTGTTGTTTTATCCAAATGTAGCTTTCCATTGTATTTTGTTTAAATCAAGATCTCTTTTTATTGGTTGCTGTAGAACCAATCAGTTTTGTCACACCTCCCATTTTTTTTTATTTTTTCTTTTTTATTTATTTATTTATTTTTTTTAACTAATGACATTTGGATAAAATATGTAACATTTGTTTAGTATAGGCAAGAGAGATAGAGGTGACAGCTTGAATGATAAATGTTGATTTTTCTTTTGTTGTAAAAAAATCATATTGATTGCTATTTTTTTTTTTATCCAGTGAATTTACTATACAATAAAAACAGTGATTGAATTACTAGTACAGGTGCACCACCAATTATCTGGCAACTGATGGTCCAGTACCTCTTTTAATCCGGACAAAATTATAACCAAACATTTTAATTTTATACAATTATTAGAATAATTCACTGGGCAGTCACAGGTGAAATAACATTTAATAATAGCTTAATATAATTTTCTAACAGTTGATAATATTATAGAGATATGAGATTTATAATTAATGGGACAGAGGTGTATGATTGAATTGTTATTATGTCTTCTGTCGAGGCAGTAATATTGATAATCTGACTCAGTTCTGGAATCAATAAGTCCATGAAAATCAGTGATATAACCTGTATATTTTTAATATAATGCTCCTAATCATTTTAATTTAGTTTTCATATAACTTTATTATCATCATCCTATCATTATATACTGCCCTGTCAATGGGGGATAGATTACATCAACCATATCTCCTGCAGAAAGGCAAGACACTCTCCAAAGGAACCTCCTATCAAGTAAATATATATATAGATAATATTAGTGGTAAATATACACATACATATGCAAAATATTTATTATATATATATATATATATATATGGTATAAAATGACAATTGGAAAAAAATTTATGTCTTATCCACAGAATTGACTAACATTTACCTATTCTTAAGCTATATATATATATATATATATATATATATATATATATATATATATATATATTTATATTTAGTTGATTGATGTGAGTTTGTGACCCTGGGTTTCACGCCACTTTCAAAAATATTTGCTACACAATTCCACCACTGAATACAGCAACCAATTGTGTACATGTGCATGCATGTATGTGTATATACGCCCAGTCCCATACTGTTCATATATGTTTATCTTTGCATGAGCTGCAATGCATGAATATGTAATTTCAAAATTAATCAGTTTGCCTGATGATCGCAAAGGGTGTGAAACCCAAGGTCACAAACTAACATCATCTAACTAAATGTTAGCTCTATCACTGATATTGATCACTTTCCAATAAGTACCGTGCATATATAATATATAAATAATATATATAAAAATTGCATATATATATATATATATATATATATATATATATGGTATTAAAGTCTCATCTACATTTGTGAGGAAGTTGTCCAGCATTCAATGCTATATTGATATTACATACCACTTCAAAGAGATCAATAGTTTGAACAAATTTTGCAACGATTATGATTCATTTAAAAATTATTGAAACTAAAATATATTGTTAGTCCACGCAAATAATGGCTAAGAAGTTCAGTCACAGACAGTTTACTGGTATGAGTGTTACTAGATCACAAGATGATTGAGAATATCAATTACCCCTAAGTATACACTTACTGCACCCAGATCAAAATCAGTATCATCCCTCCAAATGTTACAATTTTACTTTCTGTCTGTGTATTCCCTTATGAAAAAGCTTTTATTTTCCCCTACAAAGTCTTTTTTAACTATTTTAGGAAAAAAAAAAATTTCTATGTGTCAACAAATACAACAATTCATGTTAAAACAGTATGTGATTTCTATTCAATTGTTTCAAGATGTTTCGTGCTGGGGTTACTCTTAGTGTTCCACAAATGTGAATGTTTGTCTAGTGTTACAAGGGGTTACTGAAAATATCTTGGCCCAACCCAATTCCCAAAATCTGACCAATTTTTTTTTAGTTTTAAAGAATGTATTATTCACAGATAAAGAGTTTAGTCACAATAACATTTCTTTTATAACAAAATGATAAAACTAACAAATAGGACTTCATCATCTATGGAATTGCAAAGAATTATTAATAATTTGGACTAGTATGTACTTACTTACTTAAATTTTTTTTTTACTTTAATTAATGGAAATTTGATTAAGTTTTTGGTGGATGAATTTTTTTTTTTTTCTGACAAAATCTTATTTTTCTGATTGAATTTTTTCCATTTTATTTTTCTGACAAAATGTAAAAGTTTATTAATTTTTTTATACACTTATTTTTTATTTTTGTTGATAAGCTAACAAGAAATTTGTGGGTAGAAATATTTTAAATTTAATTTTTTTTTTTTTAAAAGAAGTTTTTAAGAACCTTTTGAACTTGGAGATTCATTCTTCAACCTATTCTGGTTAATGTGGTAACCACTTTAATCTTAAATAATCTTAAATAAGTTTATCAACTGGTCAGCAGTTGATGACGATGATACTGAATTCTGCATTCAGTTCAGTAAGTTTAAAGAATTAGCTGTCCGAAAAAGAACAGTAACAAAGATGAAGATAATAAAATATATACAAATTCATGACAAGACTTCCGTTTGTAAGTTTTTCTTTTTACAAAAGTTGCTGTGATAACATGTTTTGCATATAAATAAAAGCTTTTGTTTGTTGAAATTCAATAGACTGAATAATGATTAACAGCTTGTAATAATGTTGATAAGAAATATTTGCTGACTTGAAGCCAACAATATTTAAAATAGAAAAAGTAAGTCTGAAGAAAGCATTATGGAAATATGACTGGATTGTTTAAGCATTAGTGTACTGACCATGAAACCAGTGTTTGAATCTCACTGTGTTTGATTTACTGTCCTGGGATAACAATTCCAGTGTATGGCACTATTAGGAAGTGCCTGAAAACCATTTCACAAGTTGATCCAAACCTTGTGAGTGAAATTGGTTAGACAAAACTGTTTTGATGCTATCAATTGGTTTACTAGCATGTCAATGGTGGGGCTAGGTGATGTTTATTTGATTGATTTGGTTTTTTTATGGCTTATCTACCTTCTGCAGGTTATTTAAAGCCAGAAAATATTTTTAGATTTTAAGAATGCATTAGGGTAGATAATGATCTTATTGATACAAATCCTACTAATTAGCTTATTGCTGGGGGTAGAA